AGCGAGAGTTTCACTTTCAGGTGTCATATGCTTAAATGCCATTCTTGCCTTGTGACTTATTCTATTACTAATAAAAAATGCCAAACCTCCACTCTTCGTTGGATGGTCTAGGCGGAAAGATCTGTAGCTATTTAGTTGAAAAGACTGTTGCATTGAAAGCCAAGTTTAGTGCAATAAGATGTGGAGAGAATTGTGATACCAAATATATCAAATCAGTTACTGCTGTGTGAATCGATCAGCGATTCCAGTGATGAATTTTAAGAGACCCCATGCTTTCGTTAATATAACTTCGGTGACGACCTTAGTTAGAATATCTTCTTTAAGAAAATCTGTTCTAGTGAGGCTGTCCTTTTGGTATTTTTGGTTTTTGAATGAGCAGGTAAAGCACCTTTTTTGGACACAGGGGATCGTGCACGCTTTAGCGTTCGGGGATCTGTCTCCATCTCATCTGTGCTCTGATCTTCTTCCCTGATAAGCTCACTTTGAGTCAGAGTGACGCCATCTTTTAAACCTGCAGTGTGTGCATTCTGCGATCTCATCTCTGATTCAGGCTCCCTTGAGTTCTCCGCAGGGTCGCTAGGTGATAGGCAGATATTTTTTGCAGTTCCAAGTACTTGTGCCATCTGATTCGTGAGAATATGGGCCAATGACTCACAAAGGTTCGCAGCAATACGTTCCATTGCCTTTTCTACTGCCTTCTCGATTGCCTCTGCTATAGGAACAGAGAGAGCCCCTTCCATTCACTGCAAACGATTTCACGCTGGGTGGATTTTTCAATAAATCACCCACCTTACACCTATTTTTTTGTGCGAAACTTATCTGAACGAATGTAATTTACCTAATTACACCCTTTGTACACCCACTCGTCGTTTTTAGGTGTACTAGAGATGTATGTTCGCAAACTACACCCAAGGGTGTTTCCTTGAATGTTACACCTATCATATATGTATATAGTTTAGAGCATTAATACATATCACATCTCAATGGATGCAATCAAACCGCATGCCAAAGTTCTGATGAAAGGATCGATGTTTCGGCAATTGTTTTAATTTCACGTTTCATTCGCCAAAATATATCGTGCTATATACTATACTTAATATACCACCCCCTTTTTACCCTTTTTACATTATTCAGACGATTCCTCACATGTTCAACGACTGAATTCATGGGTAAACGTTTTGGGACTCTTACTAAAAATATCTTGCGGCCACTCATGTCCATTCATCCATAATTCTCACAGACATCGGTAAAAGAGATTATGTTGTGCTTAAACATAACATGAAACGGTTACACACGGTTTTCGACAGGCTATCGTGAGCGCATTCTCATTCGAAATCACACTAGGTTTTTCGTACCAGAGGTCCTGTTTTATTTACAATGGGGTCCACATATTTCCTCACACTGAAGTATTTTCCATCAATCCACAAGTCGCTTATTTATTCAGTGAGTTATATTTAGCTCTATGACCATGGATTAGCTCCAATTGAGTGTTTGCAGTGTTCGCGTTGCCATGGAAGTAGACGTTTACAATTAACCGGCTGAGCTTACTCTGATGCAGCTGCTGTGCACGCATGCCACGCCGCAGGACAAGCATGACGCACATCCGCCAAGCACGGGTGAACTCGTCCAATGGGATGTACCACTCTGTGGGCACTTAATGCTGTTTTTTATTTACTTGATATAAATGCCTGCGCGTCGATAATATACACGTGAACGATTGCAGACGACACTACCGCACTGTACCTGTGCCTAAAGAAAGGAGAGTAGTTGACTAATTGCAGCATTGTAATTGACAGTTATTACTATGGCGTTACAATGCAGTGATAATCGCTCATTCACATGCTCGCACGAAATTTAAGACATGAAATAAAAGCAAGCGTCATTTATATTTTGTGGGTAAAAAAAGCATAGTCCCCAGGTTCTTGCTGAATGGCAGAGTGTTATTCAAAAGAAGCTGATAGCACAGCAGGGGTGTTCCCAAGATTTATGCATGGAGGGGGATAGAAAGAGGAAAGAAGGGGGCCTCACCCATCTGTACGTACATTTTTGCCTGTGGTTGCATACGTGCGGATCCAAATCGGAGCTTTGTTTTTTTTTCGAAATGGGCCAAATCCTGACTCGAAAGTAGCCCAAATTACCCTCAATTGGCTCATACATAGTTTCATCTTTCCTCTAAAACAGTAATATTAAAACATTATTTATAATTATTACAGTTCTACAAGAACGGTGATAGCATGTATATGCCAAGGCAGCGTTAGTTGAGCTTGTTTCGATTCTAGATTTGGCCATTTTGAATTAAGAATAAGCTCCTCAAACGAACATAAAAAAGGCGTGCAGATGTGTCAAATACGGAACAACCTCCCCGCCGCAATTCCCTAACTTTCTATTTATATCTATGATGCACAATTAACAAATTTGGACTCCGAATTGTTGAAACAACGCCGCATTGACGCCTACCTCGGAAAAAGAAAAATGTACATCACAAAGGCTACGCATTTGCCGCCTCACACGTCAGTGGTATAAAAAAAAAAAACGACTTTGAAGCTCCGCTAGCAAATAAATATGTTGTCAAGCACAAAATATTACACTATACCTTAGTGGCTTGACATAGCTTGGAAATTATATTATAAAACGGTGCTGCTATAAATTTCGGTTTTGGTCTTGAGGTCTCGGGGCAACTGCGCATCGTCATCGCCAACAGGAAAACTGAATTGGGTAGTATTGTGGTAACACCTTTCCTTCCGTGGGTATCCCTTTCCGTGGGTAACACCTTTCCTTCCTCACGGTATCCGCACTGCGGATACTCTAGCCGTCGAGTTAAAATAAGCCAAAGTGCGAGCACTTATAGCGATTACACGGTTTCAGCCAGATTTCCAAAGCTAGAATGGCCTGGAACACGGAGGAAGGAAAAAGGTAAGGAGAGGGCATGCCCAGCCGGCGCAGGGCGTAAAAAGTGTGGCGGAAATGACATCATGGCGGCCATATTCAAACGGCACAATGGCGGCGTTGCTATGGTTACGTGTTGAGCAGTGGAGCTGGTCTAGCAGTGAGCGGCCGCGGCTGGCGGCGGAATGTGTGCCTCCCCAGGTCTCGTTCTGAGCTGTGGCGGACAATATCTGTGCTCTGCGCCGCGTTATTGGTTACGCAGTGTTCTCTTGGCTGTTACATTACTCTTAGCAACGTTTACAAATCCCTTTGTCCATCACGGGGTTTCAACAGTGCGTAGAACAAGTGCATATCCATGTGTCGTGCGGCGGATGACGCGGATGAAGCAGTTAGTGTTCAGCGAAATTGCGTTGGGCACCACGACGAAGCTGAATGACGACGAACGCCTTGCAGGTCAGTGACGGTTGAGCAGTGCTCCTGCTTGTGACAACGGACGACGCTGTTGAGCCCAGCAAGACGCCGTGAGGACCATGTGCACATACGTAGTTTCGTGTTGTGTGTGTACAGTAACAACTTGCATGTGCGTATTAAAACACCTTTTCTGTTCCGCTTGGTACACTCTCCACCAGCACTGCATGTAATCTCAACGTAAGAGCAACCACGTTCAACTGTCACTAGCACCGTGCTCAGTCACCACGGTCGCAGAATGCTGACGCCGGTGATTTTCACGCGGAACACGGACACAGTGGCAGGACGCTGCGTCGGCCGCGCGGCGGAATGCAACCGTAGAAGGCGCACGACCGATCGTGTTGTCTGTACAGTTGCTGAATTAATGACGTGAAAGCACTCGCCGTTGTCAGTGCATCTAGCGCGCGTTCTCTCGTAGTTGCTTCGTTGTCGGCGAGCTGTTATTCCCTGTTATTACTCGGACGAAGCGATTTCGTTGAAGCTGTCCCGCTGGCTCTGAGTGATGAGCTCAGTTCCATTAGTTTCAGATCGTCACGACACACGCGCTGCGCAGCCCACGTGCTTTCCGAGCCGGAGAGGGAGTCGCGCCTTCTGCTTCGCATTCATATGTAAACAAGAGAGGAGAATTTGCCTGCTCAATATGGCCGACTTCCGGCTTCATCGCGGCTTCACAACGAGTGACGTCAGGGCCTCTCCTTACCTTTTCCTTCCTCCGTGTGAAGCCGCGATATGGTGGCTAGATACCGCGATGAAGCCGGAAGTCGGCCATATTGAGTAGGCAAATTCTCCTCTCTTGTTTACATACGAATGCGAAGCTGAAGGCGCGACTCCCCCTCTGTCTCAAAAAGCACGTGGCCTGCGCGCCGCGTGCGCCGGTGCTATCCGAAACCAACGGAACGGACTTCAACACGCTGTCTTGCCGCGATACGTTCAACGAAATCTCTGCGTATGGCTGTTGTACTCTTGCACTGCCGGCTTTTACGATAAACACGGCAAGTTGCACGTTAAGCTTTTTTTTTATTTGATGTGTTCTTTGTGAAAATAAAGATGATATTTCGGGCATTGCCGCGCGACGAACCAGGCACCGAAATTTGTACAGCTTCTTTCAGATCACTTTCCAGTGTGATTCACACGCACTAGTAGCTACGGAGAACGGAAACCAGGATCGCGTTAGGGCGAAAGGTGGGAAGTTAGCCGAAGGAATGCGTGAGAAAAGGTCTGCGGGAAGCTTCAGGCGTCGACACAGCCGTCAAGGACGGCAGGGAAAGCCAGCCAAATGCGAGGGAAGATAACTCCGGGATAAGTGGCTAGTCATTAGAGGAAAATAAAGAGAAGGCGCTCGTTTCTGTCTTCCTTATCTGGAACACAGCTCAGCGCCAACCGCCAAGGATGGCGGGTACGGCCATCCGGCGGAAGGCGATGGAAAAGGAGTTCGGGATAATCGGTTGTATGAAAGAGAGGCGTTTGTTTCTGTTTCCCTTATCGGGGAGGCGGCTAAGCGCCTTGCGTGGTGTGTAAGGGGTGATTCACGCGCAAACAGACCCTTCAAGGATGCCCGCCCGGTCCCAAAAGCGCCCGTAAAGACACACAGCATTCCTCCTTTCTCAACGAAAGCAAGATATGATTGCGTATACCACACTGGAGGATTTCGAGTAGTATTAGCGGCACGTCTTGCTGCGTTCGTACTGTCCCTCAAAGCTCCACTGCACACTTCGCTGTGTGCGCGGTCACAGCCACAATGCCCAGCTGTTGTGTGCCAGAATGCAAGTCACGCGGGTCGCAAGAAGTACCAGCCACCTCCTACCACTTGTAAGTAAATTTACTTATTCGGTGCATGCGGTAGAGTAGACGCCAAAGTGTAATGTATATGATGCGCATAGTGGCAATTCTTCTGTACATTTATAAATTAACATGTTAGTTACGCTGCGTGTATACTGTGCAACACATATGCAATCATTCATCATCAGGTTTCCCAAAGACGCCGTTCGTCGGACAAAGTGGATAGAAGCAATTTGGCCACCGCATATTCGCCGGGAACCTGCAAGGAAGGCTCATGTTTGTTCGAAGCATTTCTTAGAGGAGCATTTTGATCGCACGTCCGCGTTCAAAGTCCGCCTACGAGAGCATGCAGTTCCTACTCTTTTGGTGAGAACGAATGAACTTTGGAACCAATTTCCCTTATCTTCGATCAAATTTTTGATTTATGCTCTTCTCTTTCTGGTATATGCTTTTGATTCATGTATGTCGCTAGCGTTATAGTGGCAAATAATTTTAAAAAGAATGGACGTACAATAAATGTTATACTGCAAAATAAATAAATAACCAAATAAATAAATAATCAAATTGTCATGCACCAGTTGTATTCATCCATGCTTCCTTTTTTTGACGTCACCAAAAATTATATTCTCATGTTAAAAATTAACAGCACCAATTCATACCTGTTAGTAGTTTGTGCACGAATTGGTGCAATGCAAAAACACTTAAGGTAGCCCATAACTTGCATATGAAAATTTAGATATAAATGTGGTAATTAAAAGCAAAAGTTTTGTAAGCGCCTCTTGTATCATGCATAATGCTTAATTTATGTTGGTATGAAGTGACGCAACACCTGTGCCATTGTTATTTCGTTTATTGTTCTACTTTTTTCATCCGATTTGCAATAGTAATATTGAAAGTCTTCAATCCCCCAGCTACCACATCCAGTACAACAAGGTGATAGAGTACCTGATTCAGCAAGCACCGAATCATCCTTTGATTCCCCTCAGCTCATGCAAGGTGGTGCTGAAGGCTTGCTGCTGCTTGCACAGGTAAACATTTTACCTGATCATCATATTATGCTTACAGGTCGAGTTGTGCTTGAAGAATGCACTTGACAATAAAATAATCTGGTCACACTTGGCATATTAGAATTTAATGTGTATTTGTACAATGCAACGCAAGTAAAGCAATATGCAGAAACTGAGGGAATGAATACAGTTATATTGACTCAACCCTTCAGTTTCAATGCCTCGTTTTATCTGTATTGTTTTGAACAGTTTTTCACGAAGGCATTTTTAACTAGCAGTCATATATTACTATCAGATTGCTGCAACTTCTCATGAAGGCCTCCAAGCTAGTCTCTCCACACCTGAATCGCCTGAGCAGGTTGCTGCAACTTCTCATGAAGGCCTCCAAGCTAGCCTCTACACACCTGAATCGCCTGACTTAGCTGCAGGCCTCCACGAGCAGTCCACACTCCAAGAGGTGCACATCTATTTTCCCCTGTCATTTTTATCCACCTCATTAGCTTACTGCTTTGAATACCTAGCTGAAGAGCAAATGACTGAATAGCATAGGTATTCTTGCTTTCAGGAAGCCATGGATATAGAGCCTGAAAGTGCAAATCCAATCAGTTTACCCGACCCAGCTCCCTCCGACCTAAGTGCCAGTCATTTCAATGTGTCAGCATTTGTACAGGTGAAAACTTACCTCTCTTCTACTTATTAAGCATGCTTGTCCTCTGTTATAGGTAAACTACTGTTGCAGTTGGTGTAAAAGTAAGAATTCCTAACATGTGCTCTTTTTAAAAGCCTCCCATGGATATTGGTGAGAAGAGTGAAGCACAGGCCAGCATCGCGACACCAGGTCCATCCGGCCACGCTGCTGGTATTTAATGGGAGCCGGTCCATGAGCAGGTAAACCACTTCCATGCGACATAAGTGTTGAACATTATACCAAGTTATATCTTCTCTAGTTGAGCCTGTACTAACATAATATGCACTTTCTCTTTATTTTTGTTGTAATGTCCTGATGGGAAGCAATGCATGTACTAGCCCACCTTAATTTTTCGAAAAACAGTATAGTTAAAATAATTGTTGTTTTACATTGTGACTTTGGCTTGGTTGTAATCACAAAGTAAACGAAGGCAGCACAAATGTGTAACAAACACATCTTACTTAAATTTAAATAAAGCAAATGCTTATTGGAATAAAAATAATTGATCCTATTTCTGAGAAACTCAGTAAATAAAGCATTTTTAAGTGGGTGAATTTGAGGCTGCTGCAATAGCATACCAACGAGCTTACAGAGGTATCTTAAATCTCTAATTGCTTTCTGCCTCTGTTTTACTGCTACTGCCTAATTTAGAAAGACTATATACACGAAATGCAGTGTTCATTTTAAATCCATCATGTCTTTCAGGGTTAACAGAGTTTGAAACCTAATATTGTAATTTAATGTTTACAAAATATTTATCTGCACACTTAATTTGGGGGTACTAACCTTAGGGATGCATGTGTGTGGTTTGGTTTATGACTAGAGCTGTGCATTTATTGGGCAAATGGGAATAATGCTGATATTTACAATGTGATTTATTAGCTTTGAGCATTTTTTAAAATGTACCAGCATGTATAATTAGAATATGTACACACAACTGCCTTGTTCAGTCCCAGACACTTGTGAGTTAGTCAAAATGCTGTTAAGTGTGCAGCAGTTCCTCTTAAGACTGCTGGCTAGGCGAGCCCATGCGAATTTCAGCATTGTGAAAATTACAAATAACTGTTTTTTTATTATGATACTATGATCTACTTCCACAGGAATTACAAAGGCCACAAGACATGCTGGCAACATTTGCAACCCCAAGAAGAAGAAAGCAGGCAAAGGTAAAAAAGATCAACAAATGCAAGCTATCAGATCAAAGCAATGCACCTGTATACACCAAGGGTAACACAATCAGTCCTAATATTTATTTCAGTAAATAATAAAACAAGACAAGAAAGGGTGTTGAAGTCAAAGTGCAATCAAAGCAATCCATGTAAATCATACATGCTGTGTTTATCAGCATGATATACAAATCAATTAATAACTGCAATGTTAAATTAAATTTGAGCTGTGCTCCAAGTTACAGGAAATGGTTGGCTAGTATCAATGGGGTCTTCATAGAGCTGACCAAAATATACTAGTACGAGGTTGTCCTAAATATGAAACTTAAATACCATAAGTGGCAGTGTGAACAGAAGAAGCAGGAATAAGGAAAAATTATGACTAAATGTCCAAGTTACTTGGCTTAGTCACATTGTTATTAGAAGTGGTTCAGCCTTTTACAAGTGACACACCTTACCACCTGACAAATGAGAGTGTTTTGTTCTATGTGGTTTTGCTTTGTAGGTCGACACCCCAGAGAAGGCTTTTCTGCGAGCTCGCACAGCAAGACTTGCCTCGGAGCAGCAGAGATCAAGGAAAGCAATAAAAAAACTTCAGCAGTTTAAGAGGCGCCTTAAAAAACAAAATGCTGAATTGAAATCAGTTTTGAAAACACTAACCAAGGAAAACATTTTGCTCAGAGAGCAAGTTTCAGTGCTTGACACCCTGGGTGCAGCAAATCAGCATCTTTTAAAACGACAGATAGCAAAACAGACAGGACAACACCTGAAAAAGTATTCACCTGAGCTAAGGACTTTTGCTCTTACCTTGAACTTTTACTCTCCTCGAGCATATCAATATGTAAGGCAAGTCTTTGACACATGTCTGCCACATCCTCGAACATTAAGAAAGTGGTACGAGAGTGTTGATGGAAAAGCTGGGTTTTCCAAAGAGGCTGTGGCTGCATTAATGTTGAAGTGCTTAGACACGTGCAATCGAGGACATCAAGCTGTGTGCAGCCTCATAATTGATGAGATGTCAATTAGACAGCAGGTACAGTGGCAAAGTGGTCACTTTGAAGGCTATGTATACATGGGCACAGGAACCGAAGGTGACTGCTTGCCACAGGCAAAAGCCGCCTTCGTGATAATGGTTGTAGCCATTAATGGCCATTGGAAAGTTCCTCTTGGCTACTTTCTGGTTGACGGGATAGTAGGTGAGCAGCGAGCGAACTTAGTTAGGCAGAGCTTGCTGACAGCTCATGAGGCAGGGGCCATGATTGTTTCAGTTACATGCGATGGTGCGCCTGCTAACATTGCAATGTTTCACGAATTAGGTTGCAATTTCACAAATATTGAGAACCTTCAAACAACCTTCAAGCACCCAGCAACTAACGAACCGATAGCCGCATTTTTTGATCCCTGCCACATGCTGAAGCTGGTGAGAAATGCCTTTGCACACCACAAATATTTTATCAATCAGGAGGGAAAAGTTGTATCATGGGCACACATCGAAGCACTTCATGACTTGCAAGATAAAGAGGGATTACATTTGGCAAATAAGTTGCGAAGGACTCACATTGAGTGGCAAAAACAACCAATGAAGGTTCCCCTGGCAGCGCAGGTGATGAGCCTGTCTGTGGCAACAGCTATCGCTGAATGTAGGGTGATGTGCTTGAGAGGATTTATAAATTCTGAGCCAACTGAGGAATTTTTATTAATTATTAATAACCTCTTCGACATACTCAATTCCCGTAGCATGCATCAGGGAGGGTGGAAGAAACCAGTCAATGAACACAATGTAAATGATATCAAAACATTGTTTGACAGCACAATTCGATATCTTTCCCTCCTGTAAGAGCCTGCAAGTATGAGACATTTGATAGGAACAGCTCGGAAAACTGGCTTTTTGGGCTTCATAATATGCATGAAGAGTCTGTTAGCCATGTACGATTTTCTCATTTGTAAAAAGAAGATACTAAAATATATTCCTGGGTATAAAATTAGCCAGGATCATTTGGAATTATTTTTTGGCTTAATTAGAGCACATGGAGGGCACAATGACAACCCGACAGCCCAACGATTTCAAGCAGCATTTAAAAAAATGATAGTCCAAAATGAACTGTCTGATGCTGTTTCTGGAAATTGTCAAGTGCTGGACCACATTACTATACTGTCATGTAGCTCAACCAGGAGGCATTCAGCAACAGAAGTGCTGAATGCCACTGTTCAGAGAAGGCAGCTCTTGTCTGAAGAGTGTATTGAGCAGAGCCATGTAGTCAGCGAACATGATTACTGTGCATCACTCGAACACATCAGTGATTTCGGTAGTCGTGCTGTTACCTACATTGCTGGCTATGTGGCTCACAAGCTGGGCTCAAAGTTGATGTGTGCCCATTGTACTGAAGCATTGTTTGGCACATCCAGAGCAGCAGACACTGCATTCATTCAAAGGAAAAGCAAGGGGGGGCTTCACTACCCATCTAAAAGTGTCCTCGAAATTTGCAAGAAATCAGAATCTCTTCTTCGATGGGCTGTGCACATGAATAAATTAGCATCAAAATCACTATTGCAGGATCTTGTGCTACAAGTCCTTGAATCACTGCAGCATAAAGAACTGTTTGCAGAACTGCACTCACACATGTTTGATAATTCTCCACTGGAGAATCACTATGTCCATCTTTTAAGAAGTGTCGCTGAGTATTACTTTAATGTGCGCCTATATCATGTTGGTAAGCAGACAACACAAAGTTTCCATAGCAGTCAGGTGCGCCAAATGTTCACGAAATTGATCCAGTTTAAAGGGCAATAGCACTCCATATGAACATTTACTTTGCATGGTAACAATGTTCACAATGTCTTTGCTATATGCTCTTGTAGTCCAGATCAATGTTCCTTATGTGTGACGTTGCAAGTTTTTGCCCTAATGCGTAAATGCTGCTGAGTATACTCAGATGTTCTGTGTTTGACTCTTATTTATCTGCTGCTTCGATGATATTGTCCACAACGTGCCGGTTGAAATGTCTTACGTATCTATGTGATTTTTACAAGCAAATTTGCACACACCCACTTTGTTCTGCTGCATTCTGTGTTTGCCTCTCATTTGAGTGCTCAGTAAATCAATGAATAAGTTTATAACTGGATAAAATGACTACTATCCCATACCTAAATGGGTGAAATGAACGAAAACTGTGTTTTTGGTACCCTTTATGTTCATTACACTGAGATGATTATGTGCCCTTCAATGCTTCTCTCAGAATTAAGCATACACATAAGTCTAACACTTGCGTGTACTCGCAATTGTATTGGTAATTATATTGCACACCCC